TAACATCATCCATGTGGTTTCTTATGCATGTAATTTGCGTCTTCTCCCTCTTTCTTTTATTAGATTTGCCAGTCAATTTTATTCCTTTCAAAAAACAAACTTCTTGTTTTGATACTTTCTGTTGTTTTTCTGTTTTCTGATCCATTTACTTCTGTTCTAATCTTTATTATTTCTTTTCTTTTGGTGACTGTAGGCTTACTTTGCTGGTCTTTGTCTAATTGTCGGAGCTGTTGTGTTAATATGTTGATTTTGGTTCTTTCTTCTTTTTGGATGTGTGCATTTATTGCTATAAATTGCCTTCTCAGAACTGCTTTTGCTGTGTCCCAAAGGTTTTGGTATGCTGTGTTTTGTACTCATTTTCTGCAAGAAAATTTTAAATTTTTAAAAAGGTTTTATTGTAAATTATGTAGAAGTTTATAGGACAGATCATCAGTTTTACATTCAAGAAGTCAAATTTTGTTTCATTTCAATGCTTACAATCTCTTCCATATGCCATCAGCTAAGGAGTCCTGGTGGCACTGTGGGCTAACGCGTCAGACTACAAAGTCGTTTGAACTGCAAGATCGGTGGTTCAAGCTTACCAGCTGCTCATTGGAAACCCTATACAGGGTCGCTATGGGTTGGAATAGATTCAACAGCACTTAACAACAACAACAACAACAGTATTTACCTCTATTCCCTTCCCCCCCCCCATACACACACTTTTTTTGTGCTGATGTACATTTACCACACAGAAAATATATGCTCATTTAATGTCTAGAGGGCACATTTTGGAAGCCAGCCTCCTGCCCACAGGCATGCAGCTTTTCTCTTCCCATGGGCCCGTAGTCCTTAGCAGCTCTCTCTATGCCATAGCCTCTGCCACCGTTTCTGCTGTTGCTGCTTTTCTGGTTAGGCTCACACACTCTACTCATGCTCTTCCCTCTTGATGGTCCTAGGGTCCTCTGTTCCTGAAATGAAAGGTTAACTACCCTCCCTTTTAGGTACATATCTTCTACATTTACAGTTGTGATAATCGAAATTAACCCTATTAACAGTTACAACTGAATCATAAACTTCCATCCAGATCCTCATCCTTCCCTTTTCACCAGACCCATCTGGACAAGAGGAAAATTGTTCAATGGGGATTCTACCATACTCTCCTCATTCTGAAACTAAGCACCCTCATTAAAGCTTGTAAGCCAGATACTTCGTGCCTTTGTAGCCCTCCATTTTTGATAACCAGTGTCTACGTTGCCTGCCTCTATCAATCCAGTGCACTGAGGAGGCAAGCTTGATCCTTGATATGAAGAATCCTTCACTTTTTGTTGGTATTTTGAGCAACTACATCCATAAGCAAAGGTCCAGTTTATCAAATTGTAGCAATTTACACTTGCTCACAGTATCAAACTTTTTATCTTCATCTGTTTGCGTTCTGTTCAACAAGCCTTCCTAACTAGATCCCATGGGTATTATATGCAAGTTTGGGAGCTCTTGCCCACCTCCTCCCACTTCAGACTAACTGACTGGTTCACTCTCAACTCTATTCCCATGTGACTAGGTCAGTGGTCATAAGCTCAGGAATTCACACATCTCTCTGAACTTCAAACTAGCCAGTCCTTCCTTTTCTCTCTCTCATCTCAAGGTCAAAGGGTACATGGCCAAACTCAGCCCTTATTTTCATTGCTGCATTTCCTCCATTTCCATTTGCAAGTAAACCAGGGCAGTCACTAGTAAGATACAACACTGCTCATGTGTTCCCTTTGAGTTTCTGTCTTACAAGGGAGTTTACCATGATGGGCTGACTTCTTGCCTTGATGGCTCCAAGGCCAAAAGCTTGCTTGATGTTGTTACAGTCAAACAGTCTGCTGTTTCTTTCATTCTTTTTTTTCTGCTGGTCTTTCTTTCAAGAAGTATCTTCTGTCCTCTAGCTACTCCAGGTTGGTCTGCATGTATTCTCAGGTGGAAATGTCCCATCTCCGAAGGTTCTGGGTGTGGCTCAGGAGTCCACTTAAGGACCCATACTCCACAAAGGCTTAATAAAAAACCTATTTCCCTGGGCAGATTCTAGTACCCCTTTAGCTAATCCAATCAGTTACAGGATGAAGGTGGGCTTACAAACTTTCTGTAATTGTATTTCCCAAAATTCCTTTCTATCCCGTTTAAAGGTCTATTTTACAATAGTAGATAGGATAAATCAATATCCAAAAAACAGTCAAGCACTTTAACATTATTTTCCCTCCTTTACCTATTCTGACTATGTCTCGATCCCTGTATCACAAACCCTGTTGTTCCAAGGTTGTGTATGCATCGCTATTTACCTCTAACCTGTTTACTGATGCATACCTCCCTAAGTCTTTCCCTATCTTCATAGTTCATCTACCCCTCTTCCCTGTCTTGTGTGTTGTATTATCCCTCCTTATATATTACCCCTCCTTATATATTACCCTAATTACCCTACACCTGTCCCTCCTACCCCTGATAACCATAACATCATTTTTCTTTTAGTATGAAAATATTTTCTAAAGCATTTACAATAATAGTCTTATGCAACATTTATCCTTTTGAGCATAGTGTCCTCAAGATTCATCCTTGTTATGGGGTGTTTTTCAGCTTCATCAGTATTCTTCAAGGTAGCGTAGTACTCCATTATGTGTATGTACCAATATTTATTTATCCATTCTTCCACTGATGGGCACTTAGGCTGTCTCCATGTTTTTGCTATTATGAATAGTGCTGCGATGAACATTGGTGTGCATATATCTACTCATGTTCTGGCTCATATTTCTTATGGACATATTTCAAGTATTGGAATAGTTGGATCATAGGTATTTTTAGTTCCAACTTTCTGAGGGTGTGCCATACTGTTTTATAGAGTGGTTGAACCATTTTACAGTCCCACTAGCAATGTAGGAGGGTCCCAGTCTTTCCATACCCTTGATAGCATTTTCTGTTTTCTGCTTTTTTGAATTTTGTAATTACTGCTGGTGTGATATGATATCTCATTGCTGAGTTTTTGGAATTTTCTACATATAGGATCATATCATCTGCAAATAGAGTTGTACTTTTTCTTTGCCAATTTGGATACCTTTAGTTTCCTTTTCTTGCCTACTAGTTCTGGCTAAGACTTCCAGCATAATATCACATAGAAGTGGTAATAAAGGACATCCTTGTCTGATTCCTGTTTGTAAATGGAATGCTTTCAATTTCTCTCCATTGAGAGTGATGTTGGCTGTTGGATTTGTGTATATGCTTTTAATTATGTTGAGGAATTTCTCTTCAATTCCTACCTTGTTGAGTGTTTTTATCAGAAATAGGTATTGGATTTTGTCAAATGGCTTTTCTGCATCAATCGATATGATTATATAGTTCTTTTTCTTCTTTTATTTATATGGTGGGGTTGTAGAGGGTCCTGCTGTGACTGGACTGTATGATTGCAGTTGCTATCTCCTGTTGGGTGAGACAAGGAAAACACTCCCACAGAAAGAAGGAAAACAAACAACTGTGGAAAAATTTAAAAAATAATGAAGAATAAAAATAAAACCCCAAACAAAAACAAAAAATATCTACTGCTTTTCTATCCACCATTAAGTAGAATGCCTCTACACTCATTTACTGGCTTCTTTTCTTCACAGCCACCCAAAAAGTTCAAGATGGCCCCAACACACCTTTCTGACCCACACAAATAATCTTTTTTCTTTTTCTTCCTCCCACCTTCTTCTGTACCCCACATAGCCACTGAGTCACTTCTTCTAATGAGAACTAGTGCAGGGCTGGCCAGGGCCAACTGCAGACTTTCAGCAGGGCTTGTTTGAGTGGGGATGTTGCCACTAGCTCCTCCTCCCTTTAGTGGTGCTCATAACCTCGGAATTCAAGCAGTTTTCACTTGTCTGCAGAGTGGGACCTCCCATGGGAGGTGTACACTGGCCTTGCCTCTGGTCACCAGAGGAGTTTGAGGAACCAGAGAAGAAAAGGAAAAAAAACACAAAAACACATCTTTGTCTCTGCAAGCCACACGTAGGTTTCTGCAAAATGAATTTGTTTTCTTTTCTCTTAAGTCACTCACACAAGCTCACGATAGCTGTGACAAGTCCCACCAGTCACCAGCATTCAGCAGTCACTTCCTTTATTGCCACATCTGCTCAACTTTCTCTCTCAGTAAGCACACTTATTTATCTCTTCACCTGAAGCTCCCAGTTCCAGGAGCATCCTCTGCGTCTTCTTGTCCAGTTTCCTATCTTCTGGCAGCAGAGGGCCTGTGCAGCCTTTCTGCCTAGTCTACCATCATGCTCCACATCTTTGCCTTATTGTTTACATGGTTTCTGCTGATAAATCAGAGCTGAGTTTTACTGGTTATTCTTTATAAGTATCCTTTGTATTGTTTTCTGTGCTGCTGTTAGAATTCTTTCCTTGTCTTTGGTTTATAAAAGTTTGATTATAATATGATTTTGTGATTTTCTTTTTGTGTCTGCCCTGTTTGGGATTCTTTCAGCTTCTTGAATGTTTATCGTCTCATCTTTCATGATGTTAGGAGTATTTTCTTCAAAGAACTGTCTCAATTTTCTCTGTGCTTTTTTACGGTCTCTTCCTTGCAAACTACTTTTTTTTTTCTCCTTGCAAACTACTTTTATTGTAATTTCTATATATGTTCCTAACTGTAGTTTTCTTTTAGTTTGTCTTGATTTGTAATGTTTTTAAAATTTGTTCCTGAATATCTTTCAGCAGTATTAGAAAGTTTTAGCTGTTTTCTCTTCAAATATTCCATCTGCCCTTTTCTGTTTCTCCTTTCCCTTTGGCACTACAGATCAATGTATATTAGATCTTATTACTATATCTCCAGTTTCTTTTTGTCCTTCTCTTATATATTTTATCCTTTTCCCACGCCATACTTTATTCTGGATTTTTTTTCACTAATTTTATTGTCAGCTATATCCAATCTGCTATTAAACCCATCAGTTGAATTCTTAATTTGGTTTTATCATTTTTACTTCTAGAATTTATATTTGATTTTTTTTTAATAGTTGAGGTCTCTTGAGAAGTTGTCACTCTTGTATTTTATTTCCTTAAGGATATTAGCACAGTTATTCTTAAGTTCTGTTTCTAATAACACCATTACCTTGAACCTAGATGGTTCTGTTTTCATTAGGTGTTCCCCGTGGGTCTACTTTTATTGTCTGTTGCTTCTCGTACTTTCAATTACATGATATATTCTATGTATCTTGTTGTTTTTGATTATGAAATACTGAATACAAAAAATTATAAAAAATCCCTTGAGACCAAAGAATTGTTTTCCTTTAGAGAGGATATAGAATCGTTTCTGTCAAGTGATTAGAGACACTGTTAAACCAGGATTATTTTAAGAATTTAGATAATCCAAAACGGAATAAATCTTTCAGTTTACCTACTCAAGTGTGTGTGTTAAGAGAGAGACAGAGACAGAGAGTAGGAGAAAGACACAGAGAAGAGACGGAAAGAGTGGGATGGGTGGTTTCTCATCCATCCTTCTTGATGAGACTGGACTTCGCTTTTTGTACCTTAGCTTCTTGAGACTATCAGAATTGCTCCTCAGCTTTTCATTTTCTTATCTACTTTTACCTGAATTAGCAGATTCCTTTAGTGAAAAAACAATATGCAAATTCCAGGACTACCTCTCAGGGTTCCTTCCTTCTCTCAATTATTTGCCAAGTGATTCTTCATTGGACACATAGCTATCTCCTGCCAATCTTTTCCCCTAGTTTTTCTAGATTATTCTCATTGAGAGCACTGATTTAAAAGTCTAAGCAGTTCTAAGTGAAACAGATACCCTCTGTTTTAAATCATCTTAAAATTTGCTTTTATTTCTTCACATTATTTGTTTTTTTGGCACTCTATGGACACTGTTGATATGAATTCTTTGTTTTTGTTTTCAATTCTAGGAAATTGATCTTCATTAGTTCTCCCAGTAATTCAATCTCTTTATTTTTATGTCTATTATTGTGAATTTGCATTATCTAGAAATTGGTATTCCTACCTCTACACAGCATACTAGATAGCTGCCTCCTCTGCCTTTTTTGGTTTGCAATTTTATCAAGGTATAATTGATGTTATAAATTCTCAAATTCAAAATGTAAAATTTTATAAAGTTGTCATACACACCCTTGAAATTACCTTCCCAATAAATATTATTAAGATACTTATTACTCCACCAATTTTTGTATGCCGCTTTTTAGCACCTCTTTTCCATCTCCTCTTACCTATAACTCCATTTCAGGTTATTTAGGCTTCCATACTGCCAGAAATTTGCTCAGCATACAAGTTGAATAAGTATGGTGAAAGGATACAACCTTGTCACACACCTTTTTAAATTTGAAACCATTCAGTGTTCGCATGTTCTGTTCGAACAACTGCCTCTTGGTCCAGGGACATGAGCACAATTAAGTCCTCATGAGCACAATTAAGTGTTCTGGAATACTCATACTTCGCAATGTTGTCCATAGCTTGTCATGAAGCACACAATCAAAAGCCTTTGTGTAGTTAATAAAGCACAGGTAAACATCTTTCTGATATTCTCTGCTTTCAGCCAAGATCCATCGGACATCAGCAATTATATCTCTCATTCCACGGCCTCTTCTGAATCTGGCTTGAAACTCTGGAAGTTCTCTGTCAATGTATGATTGTAGCCATTTCTGTCTTACCGTTAGTAAAACTTTAGTCACATAGGATATCAAAGAGATTGTCCGATGATTTCCACATTCCGTTGGGTCACTTCTCTTTGGAATGGGCACAAATATGGATCTCTTCCAATTAGTCGGCCAGATAATTGTCTTCCAAATTTCTTGGCAAAGATGAGTGAGTGCCTCCTGTGCTGCCTCACTTTCTTGAAAGGTTTCAATTTTTATTCCATGAATTCCTGGTGCCTTGTTCTTTGCCAATTCCTTCAATGCACCTTGGACTTCTGCCTTCAGTATCATTGCTCTTGATCATATGCTGTCTCTTGAAATGTTTGAACATGAACCATTTACTTTTGCTACAGTGACTCTGTGTATTCCCTCTATCTTCTCTTGATGCTTACTGCATCATTCAATAATTTGCCCAGCGAATCTTTCAATAATGAAAGTCAAGGCTTGAATTTTTTCTTCAGTTCCCCCAGATTGAGAAATGCTGAGCGTGTTCTTCCTTTTTGGTTTTCTGATTCTAGATCTTTGCACATTTTATTGTAATATTTGGCTTTATCTTCTTGAGCTGATCTTCGAAATTTTCTGTTCAGTTCTTGGACCTCTTCATTTCTTCCATTTGCTTTAGCATCTCTACGCTGGAGAGCAAGTTTCAGTGTCTCTTCTGACATCCATTTTGACCTTTTCCTTCTTTCTTGTCTTTTCAATGGCTGGGTTATATGAAGAAAAACGTGGCATCAGGATTGGAGGAAGACTCATTAACAACCTACGATATGCAGATGATACAACCTTTCTTGCTGAAAGTGAAGAGGACTTAAAACATTTACTGATGAAGATCAAAGAGCACAGCCTTCAGTCTGGATTACCTCTCAATGTAAAGAAAACAAAAATCCTCACCACTGGACTAATAAACAACATTCTTATCAACAGAGAAAAGATTGAAGTTGTCAATGACTTCATTCTTCTTGGATCAACTATCAGCATTCATGGAAGCAGATGTCAAGAAATCAAACGGTGTATTGCATTAGGCAAATCTGCTGCACAAGACCTTTTTAAATTGTTGAAGAGCAAAAATGTCAGCTTGAGGACTAAGGTGCACCTGACCCAAGCCATGGTATTTTCAATAACCTCATATGCATGTGAAAGCTGGACAGTGAATAAGGAAGACAGTAGAAGAATTGATGTTTTTTAGTTATGGTGTTGGAAGAGAATATTGAAAGTGCCATGGGCTGCCAAAAGAAACCATAGATCCATTTTGGAAGAAGTGCAGCCAGAGTGCGCTTTGTAGGCCAAGATGACCAAACTTCGTCTCTCATAACTTCAGACATATTGTCAGGAGGGACCAGTTGCTGGAGAAGGATATCATATTTGGTAAGGTGGAGCATCAGAGAAAAAGAGGAAGACCCCCAATGAGATGGATTGGCCAGGTGGTGCTATCAATGGACTCAAGAGTGGCAACAATAGTGAGGTTTGCCCAGGATTGGGCAGTGTTTCATTCTGCTGTGCATTAGGTCGCTATGGGTTGGTACAAACTTGATGGCACCTAACAAAAACAACTGCCAGAAATTGAAGTTTGTTCACTTGTTTATTGACTGCGAACTCCATGAGAGCAGTCCATGCCCACCTAGTACCTAGTCCATACTAGACACTTAATAAATATTTGTGGAACAAATTAAATACTGTTAATTATTGCTTTATTTATAATGGTAATAAATTGGAATGAGCCTAAATGTCTATTAATATGAGAGTAGTTAAATATATGATTATGTTTATTTGAAAGTAAATGACCGTATTTACTGGTGGAATATTTTTCAGCCACAAAATAATGGTTTGGAGGGCTATATGATAAGACTGAAATTATTAAAAGATTAAGTATTAGGTGAAAAAAATCAGGAGGATTCAATTTTGAATTTGCAATATGATAACTTCAAAATATACAGAGGAAAAAATATCAAACAGTGATACCAAAATGCTAATAGTAGTTTATATTTGTGTGATGTATTGAAGATCTTCCCCCCCTTTATTTTCCAAGATTTCTCTAATGTAGTATTACAATGAAGACATTAAAAAGAAAAAAAAAAGTGAGTGTTAGTGTCCTGAAATACTCTTTTTAGATTTAAATACACTGAAAAAACCAAAACAAAAAAATTCCAGAATTAGTTTTATTATTGAAATATTTACAGACTTTTATATGAAAACACAGAAAAAGATCTTTCTGATACTCAGCGACACCTTGCTAAGAAAAAATATGAGCTGCAACTTACTCAGGAGAAAATTATGTGTTTGGATGAAAAAATTGGTGAGTTCCCCCCTCCTGTTTTATATATGTTAATATGGTTTAAAATGTTTTCTTTGTTTAGTTATAACATTGCTGGAAGTAGATTCTAAAATTTTACAAATTATGAATTAAAGTCTGTTTTGATATCTTTACTAAGAATCTTTTGACATCTTTTCCTAGCTCTAGGAATATAAATGTTTAGATATGATTTCAAAATTTCCAATGAAGAAATAACTGAAAGAAGCCACAAAATTCGTAAATTTATGATGATTACTTTAAAATTGATATTTCTTGTATAGTATATAGATTGTCAGTAGCTGTTATAATGAAACATAGTATGTATACATTAGTTTTGGTGGACTGTGTGCCTAAATTGGCTATATCTATGAACTGCGAACCACAAGGTCAGCAGTTCAAACTCACTAACTGCTTCTTTGAAACCCTATACTGGGAAACTATGAGTTGACACCAACTCAATGGTACTTAACAACAACAATATTAGTTGGTTTTATGGGCCCTGGTGTGGCACTGTAGAATAATTACTGGAATGCTAACTGCAAGGTCAGCAGTTCAAACCCACCAGCCACTCCTCAAAAACCCTATACTAAGTTGCTATGAGTCGGAACCAACTTGCTGGCACTTAACAACAAGAAGTTAGTTTTACAGAGAAAATTAATTTTATAAATTTTGTATTTGTGTTTCATACCAGATAAGCATGATCTTTATGAAAATATGGTCACAACTTTTTCTTCTTGTAATCATAAAGTGCATTTTTGGTCAGGGCTATAAAAAAGCCTTTTAGAGACTGAGGAAGTATTTTTAGCATTTGCCGTAGTTGCATGAACAATTGCCATAGTTGTATGAATCACATGAGTAATTGTGTTATTTACTGAGAAAGAAAATATTGAAAGAGAGATATAAAAGGAGACTAGTGAAAGAGAACTCATAGGTGGATATTTTAAGCGCAGGTGTAAATGGTAAGCAATGAGTAGGTAAGTTTGGATTTCAGAAGAGAAACCTAAGCTGAAGATATTCTTTGGGGGCATAACAACATATAAATGATACTTAAAAATCATGAAACCATAAGAAGAATACAGAGAATGAGAAGACGGTCCAGGACTGAGTAATAGCCACAAAAATATGAAGAAAACCCAGAAATGAGTGTTATCATGGAAACCAAGAAAGCAAACTGTTTTAAAAAGGAAGGTATGGTCAATTGTCAGATGTGTTTCATAAGTGAAGTAACATGAAGATAAAAATATCGAATTTGGCAAACTACTAGTTTTTGTGAATACTGACAGTAAAGTCTGAATGGAATATTGGAGGGGTGGATGGTAGAATAGGTTGAGGAATGAATGGGAAGTAAGGACGCAGAGACAGGAAAGACTAGGAAAATTTCTCAAGAAGTTTGATTTACAAATGGTAGTAGTGGGGTTGTAGCTAGAGTGAGCTTCAGGATTTCTTTTTAAAACTAGAATATACTAAAAAAAAGTTTTTAAGCTAAGGAGAATGAGGGAGTATTGTGGCCCTGTAGAATAAGCACTGGACTTCTAACCACAGGTCATTGATTCAGTCCCACCAGCTGGAGAAAGACAAGACTTTATGTTCCCTTTAAGAGTTATAGCTTTGGAAACCCTATTCAGCATCACTATGAATCTGAACTGACTTCATAGCAAACAGCAACAACAATGGGAATGAACTCAGATATCAGGGTATCCCAAACACATGGATTTGCCCTCAAGGCAATTTGCAAGGTCTGTTTGGAAAAGGAACATGATACATTGTCAAGTATCATAGAAAATGCTCCTGACATACTCAGATGGCAGTATAGTATTATTTTTTAGAAGTGATTAACCCGCAGAGATTCATCTAGAGGTTTGGACTAACAGAGATCCTCTTGCAGAGCTGTGGACCTATGTTCTCAAACTTTGGTATGTGCCTGAATCACTTGGAGAACTAATTGAGTTTACTGGAGCCACATTGGTTGAAGCAGAATTAAGCCAGGGCTTTTGTATCTTTGCAAAAGTATCCCAGGTGGTTCTGATTCTGTAGAACCACTTCAATCGTAGACTCATCTGGGGAAGGGGAGACAGTGCCTGTTAAAAATCTACTGAATTTCTGATTCAGTAGATCTGGGGCAGGAACTGAGAATTTTAATTTTTAACCAATTCCCAGGTAACACTGATGATGCTTCCTGAGGAACCACAATTTGAAAAACACTGTTCTGTACATTGACACAGGAGTTCTGGTATGGCACTGTGGGTTAATGCACTGGACTGCAAAGTCATTTAATTTTCAAGGTCTGTGGTTCAAGCTCAGGGTCGCTATGGATTGGAACCGACTCAAAGGCACTTAACAACAGCGTACATTGATATTAGCTTACTAGAGTTTTTGACACTGGAATCAGTCTTCCTTGGATGATTTTTTAAAAAATGAATTTAGAGAAATCAGAATATTAGAAGATATTTGGCGCTAAATATTATTTAGTTGATTATGTTATTAAGATGTGTTAATTACCAATTTTATATATACCAGTGATTCTATGGTAGGGTGTTGTTGTTGTTGTCAAGTGCCGACGAGTAGATTCTGACCCATAGCGACCCTGTATAGGGTTTCCAAGGAGCAGCTGGTGAGCTTGAATCGCTGACCTTGCAGTTCAAACGGCTTTGCAGTCTGGCGCATTAACCCATAGTGCCACACCAGGACTCCAGGGTAGGGTGAGGGGAGAGAAAATCAGGTAAAAGGCCCAGTCCTCTTCTCTCCTACCACACATGGAACTCTACTTTGAGAATGTATGATAATTGAGTTTTTCTTTTGATATTCTAATTAAAATGTATTTGTTGTTCTTTTAAATTTATCAGTCATTTGGATTTAATTATTATCTTAATTTTTATAACTAACAAGAAAAGTGTATTTAAGATATAATCTTGTTTTGAGTTGTTGAATATAAAATAACTTAACTTTGAAAAGTGTTTCAGTTTATTGGCTGGACAATATTTCTTTTTATCTTGATTAAACAATGCCTTTATCGTTACATATTTAGATAATTTTACAAGGCAGAGTATTGCCCAGCGAGAAGAAATCAGCATTCTTGGTGCAACACTCAATGATCTGGCTAAAGAAAAGGAATGCCTGCAAGCGTGTTTGGATAAAAAATCTGAGAATATTGCTTCCCTTGGAGAGAGTTTGGCAATGAAAGTATGTTATGAGAACTCTGGTTTCAAAAGAAATGTTTGAACTTGGATCTGAATAAAATAATAGTGTTTTCTCCAAGTTTTTCTAGAGAGCTGAAACTTTAAAATCTGATTTTAAAGAATTTAAAAATATTTGAGATGGCTTTAGGAAGTGTATAGATACATTAATATTTTTAATTGATTGTTTAAATTGTCAATTTGTGATTAACATTCACTGAATATAATCAGTTTAAGTATCAAGATGTGAAGCCTGATAACAAAGTAATGAGACTGATTTATTATAAAAAAAACAAAACAAAACATGTCAGAACTGATATTTCCAAGCAATGTGTTTATTCCACTAAAACTGCCTTTGTAATTGTGTTCAGAACTAAGGGCACATTTTACACCGTACGCAGTCTTTGAGAATAGACCATATATATGTAGCTGGTGAATAAAACTGGATCATAACCTCCATACCAGAGGGAGACAATGTAAAGATTCTGTTGTGAGATCATGTGTTCTGTACCATAAGTATGTATGCACAATGCACATACGCACAATGCTTGATTGTAGTTTGCTAGAAAAGTACCTGATTCAGGCTGGGGCCTGAGTTAGGAGAGGAAGAAGAAATGGGAAACCTCCCAGGATAATTTACAATGTTTCTGGGGGATATTACTCTCAAGATGAAGTTCATTAATAAAAAAATACATATATTGGATTATAAACTGTATTTCAAATGAAACCAAGTTATGACCTTCAAAAGCGCTACAAATTCAATTATCTCTTTTTAGAATTTATTTTTAGAAATGCATTAAATTATATTTCAAAACCATGTGTTAATATTCCACGTTAAATAAAATTTCTGTTTGGGTTTTTCCTTCATCCATTTGTGCTTCTTAAAGAGATTCACTTTTGAGCTGTTTTGTTAATGGGTATTTTAACCATACTGCATTTGTCAGATGTAAAATCTGCTTCATTCTTCCTGAATGCAAAGTAGAAAATTGGAGCTGAAAAACCCCTGGCTAGGAGCACATGAATAAAAGGAAATAGCACACATGCTTGCACACACACATAGAGGATTATGCTTCTAAGGGAACAAAAGCAAAACTGGGTTGGAAGTGTAGGTTTGGTTTTTCATAATGATACTTAGGTATAAAGTTTTGAAAATTCAAAGAGCAAGTTGAATTCTAGTTGTTATTTAGTGAAGGAATACTTCTACTTTTTAAAGCACTAATGTTAGTAACTATAAATAATCAAATTAGCCCAAACTCAATGAGAGTTTGAAAGGAAGGAGGGTTTACAATGGTACTGATGGTATTCAGATATTCAAACCTCTTTCAGCCTTGACTAACTCCACTAATTCTACTCCTTCCCCATTACCTTAGAAGAGGGGAATATCAATCTTAGGGGACTCCAAAACATTTGTGGAAAATGGAATGGAAAGATAATTGTTTTATGCCTGATGCTTACCTTTTCATTAGCTCACACCTAAATATTATTGACAACTTTTATATTATAAGTAATTCTATTGGAGCAGCTTTGTGAAGATGCTGTTGATGGCTAGTAAAAATTATATATTTGGTCCAAGTTATTCTTAAGAACTGAATGAAGTTATACATGGTTTACTTATCTGAATTTTATAGCATGAAGATGTGAGAGAGTGAATCAGTCCTATTCCCAGTATAGAACATTCCAATGCCAAAACACTGATTTGCCTGTAAGAATAGAGTGGTCGGGAGGTTCTTATGTTGGGTGACAGTTCAAAATAGTTTTTCCCAAAGTACTATGTTGTACTGATCTCATATCAATACCCCTAACTGTAGCTTTTAGTTTAATGAGAATAATCTATTTTTTACCCAGACTGTAGAGAAGAGGAATAGGGTATAAATGCTTAGAAACAAATAGACATCAAAACAGAAGGGAACATTTATTTTTCTTTGCTCAGTTTGAACAGAAATGACACCTTAAGATAATTTTTTATTTAATACTTTTGTTACTTTTCAAGGAAAAGACCATTTCAGGCATGAAGAATATCATTGCTGAGATGGAACAGGCATCCAGGTAAGTCGTTCATTCGTTCAATAAATATTTGAGCACTAACTAGAATTAAAGTATGATTTTAGGTACAAATATAGTAAGAAAAAGGGGTTTACTGTTATGTAAGTAAGCAAAAAATTGCAATGCACATTAATAATTCTAATGTTTGAGATGATGGAGAAACTCAATATCGTAAGTCAGAATAAGACCATGGGCCAAATGTGGAACATACCATCCGTTGCTCATGTGCAAGTTCAAGTTGAAGCTGAAGAAAATTAAAACGAGAAGCATAGTACAACCTTGAGTCTATCCCACTTGTATTTAGAGACCATCTCAAGAGTAGATTTGACACATTGAATACTAGTGACCAACATTGTGTGATAACTTCAGGGATTTCATACATGAAGAAAGCAGAAGCTCAGTAAGCAGGAAAGTGACCAAAATGTACTTCAGAAGAGACTCTGAAACTTGCTTTTGAATGAAGAGTAGCTAAAGTGAAATGAAGAAATGATGAAGTAAAAGAGCTGAACAGAAGATTTCTAAGGGCAGCTCTAGAGACAAAGTAAAGTGTTAGAATTAATTATGCAAAGACCTAGAGTTAGAAAACCAAATGGGAAGAACATTACTGGCATTTCACAAGCTGAAAGAACTGAAGGAAAAAAATGCAACCTCAAGTTATAATATTGAAGGATTCTATGGGCAAACAAATTGAATGACATAGGAAATAATAAAACCATGTAGAAGACATACAAAGAGTTATGAGACCAAAAGGAGTTGATCAACATACAACCATTTCATGAGGTGTATGTGATCAAGATCCCATGGTACTGAAGGAACAGGTTCCAACCTCACTGAATGCACTAACAAAAAACAGCTCCAGGAACTGATGAGATGTTCCAACCATCAATAAATCATGCAACGCTGGAAATGCTCACTTGTCTATGCCCAGAAATTTGGAAGACAACTCCCTGGTCAAATGACTGAAAGGGATCCATATCCATGTCCATTCCAAAGAAAGGTGACTCAACAGAATGTGGAAATTATCAAACAATATCATAAATATCACACACAAGTAAAATTTTGCTGAAAATGTAAAAAATGGTTGCAGCAGTACATTAACAGGGAACTGCCAGAAATTTAAGCAGGAGCCAGAAGAGGGTGTGAAATCCTTGCTGATATCAGGTAGCTCTTGACTAAGCAGAGAATACCAGAAACATGTTTACTTGTGTTTTCTTGATATGCAAAGGCATTCAACTGTGTTGTTGTTGTTAGGTGCCATCGAGTCGGTACAGACTCGTAAATTATGGATAACATTGTGAAGAATGGGAATTTCAGGACACCTAATTGTGCTGAAGCGGTACATAAGACCAAGAAGCAGTTGTGCAAATAAAATAAGGGGATAGTGAGTGGCTTAAAATCAGGAAAGGTGTGCATCAGAATTGTATCCTTTCACCATACTTATTGTATATGCTGAGCAAATAATCTGAAAAGCTGGATTCTATGAAGAACGAGGAAGGCTCACTAACAGCCTACAATATGCAGGTGAAACAACCTTGCTTGCTGAAAGTGAAGAGAACTTGAAGCACTTACTGTTGAAGTGCAATGACTGCACCCTTCAGTACAGATTACACCTGAACATAAAAAAATCCTCACAACTGGACATCATTGGACAAAAGCAACATCATGATAAACAGAGAAAAGATTGAAGTTGTTGAGGATTTCATTTTACCTGAATCCACAATCAATTCCAGTGGAAGCAGCAGTCAAAAAATCAAACAACTTATTGTGTTGGGCAAATCTGCTGGAAAAGACCCTTTAAAGTGTTCAAAAGCAAAGAGTCACTTTAAGAACTGAGGTGTGCCTGACCCAAGCTATGGTATTTTCTGTTGCCTCAGATGTGTGTGAAAACTGGGCAGTGAACAAGGAAGCTGAAGGAATATCATTGCCTTTGATTTACAGTGTTGGTGAAGAATAGTGAATATACCATGGACTTCTAGAAGAACAAAGAAACCTATCTTGGAAGAAGTACAGCCAGAACGTTCCTTACACGCAAGGATGGCAAGACTTCCTGTCATTTGTTACTTTAACAAATTATTAGGAGGGACCAGCCTCCTAATAAAGTATGATACCAAGGTTATCATACTTGGTAAAGGAGAGTCTCAGCGAAAAAGAGGAAGACCCTCAATGAAATGCACTGACACAGGACTGCTACAGTGGGCTCCAACAAAGATACAGTTGTAAAGATGACACAGGACCAGGTGGTGTTTGTTCTGTTGTACATAGGATCGCTATGAGTTAGAACTGACTGGACAGCATCTAACAACAACAGTGTTTGAAGGAGGCTTAAAGTAACTAAGGAGATGGTGTTTGCCAAGTAAAGATGATGGTGGTGGTGGTTGTGGTTATGTGCCGTGGAGTCGGAAACGACTCAAAGCGACCCTGTACAGGATTTCTGAGGCTGCAAATTGGGAGCAGACAGCCTCATCTTTCTCCTGCGGAACAGCTAGTAGTTTCGAACTGCTGACCTTAAGGTTCGCAGCCCGCTACATAACCACCATGCTACCAGAGCTCCTTAAGTAAGGGTGGTTGTTGTTGTAGTTGTTGTTAAGTGCCATAGAGTCGGTTCCGACCCATAGCGACCCTGTACAGGGTTTCCGAGGGTGTAAATCCTTACGGGAGTAGAAAGCCTCATCTTTCTCCCGCGGAGCGGCTGGTAGTTTCGAACCGCTGACCTTAAGGTTCGCAGCCCGATTCGTAACCACTACGCTACCAGAGCCCGCTACATAACCACCATGCTACCAGAGCTCCTTAAGTAAGGGTAGGTATGGACATTTTAGGTAGAAAAAGTAGCACGACTCAAAGACTGTGGATCATGTTAAAGAACCTCTTTCCTCTCTCTCTCTCTCTTTATTCTCCATTTCTTGCTGTTATCCAGGTAATAAAAACCAATCACACAAAATTGTGTCCCACCCTTTCTTTTTTGCTCCCAGCATACCTCCCCGATTGTAGGAATGGGTCTGGGGTGGGAGGCAGGGAGTGGCTAATGACACAGCAAGGAAATGAAAACTGGCTCAGAGAGGGGAAAGCTTCAAAACAAAGAGAAATTAATTTAAAATAAATAAATTAAAAACCCTCCTATCCCCTCCAGCCAGGGTTCAGTTCCTTCCCCAACTCCCCAGGGAGAAGTGAGCGCAGCACCTGATGTCTGCCTCTCCTCCTTGTGTCTGATGGAATGGAGAAGCAAAAGGAAGAGAGACTAAATAGAGGACTCTGGTAGCGTAGTGGTTACGAATCGGGCTGCGAACCGGAAGGTCAGCAGTTCGAAACTACCAGCTGCTCCGCGGGAGAAAGATGAGGCGATCTGCTCCCGTAAAGATTTACAGCCTCGGAAACCCTATTCAGGGTCGCTATGGGTCGAAACCGACTCGACGGCACTTAACAACAACAACATATTATAAACAAATTAGCTTTGATTTTTATTTTCTGGGTTATCTCATTGAAGAATTTGAAGAAGGTTTTTGTGTTAGAAAGATTATCCAGAGAGAAGAGGTGATGAGAAATTGGGGTTATGAGAGGGCAGGAAAAGAGAAGGACAAGTGAAGTGCTAATGAGGGAGAGTTTAGGAAAATGTCAGGTTTCTGACCAGAGACGAATCCTGGACATGATAGAAGTGTGAGTAGAAAGATAGATTTTACTTCTGAATTCAAAGGGCCTATGAAACCATATAGAGTTAAAATATAGGAGTCTGTAGAGTAACAAAAAAACTTGCTGGAAATAATGATGTGGGAGTTATCTAGGTATGTATGGGGTTAGGAGCCTTGGATATGAATTTAATTTGTCTGAGAGAATGGGTTGATTGAGAACAATCAGGGGGCTAAGTGTTGAGCCCTGGGAAACAGCAGTTTTTAAGAGGGCTAACAGGAACCTGTAAAAGGAGACAAAGTCAGCAATTTCCAGGTATGAGAAAGGCCTTACTATATTTCAGCATTAGAAGTTTTGAAATACTTAGAAAATCACTGACTATGTGCATAGTTAGCATCCTCTCTCACAGTGAAATATTGAGAACAGAAGCTCGAATTCACAGTCTTTTGTAACATTATTCCTACAAATTTAAATGCTTTTAAAACCTTGAATGTTTTCATATTACCTCTCCATCTTCTGTCTTGTGAGAATTTGTTATTCTGTTTCAGTAAAATATCTCTTATATACTATTTGATTTATGGAATAGACAGTCTACTGAAGCCCTAATTATGTGTGAACAAGACATTTCCAGAATGCGTCGGCAATTGGATGAAACCAATGATGAACTGACTCAAATTGCCAGGGAAAGAGATATCTTGGCTCATGAGAATGACAATCTCCAAGAACAGTTTTCTAAAACTAAACAAGAAAACCAGGTATGCTTTTTCCTAGAATCTTTTTCTCTAAGGGAATAGAAAATTCTGAGGTACAGACTTCAATTCAGTTTGTAGAAAAGCTCAGGCATTAGAACAAAATATATATATATTTTTTACCTTTTCAGCAAAGAACACTCCATAATTTCTAAATGTAACTTTAATCCATATAGTGGTAAATATTAAAGAAAATAGAGACCAGGAGATGTAAAGGATTATATTTAACTTTTTAAAGGCTAATGAAAAAGATTGGAGTATGTCAACACATGACTATAAAACTCTTTGGACACTTTTATGTGATAATGTACATTTGAAGTTTTTGTTATTAGTTGCTGTCGAGTTGATTGTAACTCATGGTGACCTCATGTGTGCAGAGTGAAATGCACCTTAGGGTTTTCAAGGCTGTGACTTTTCAGAAAAGATCACCAGACCTCTTTTCAGAGGCACCTCTGAGCGGGCTCAAACTGCCAACCTTCCAGCTAGTAGTTGAGAGCTTATCCATTTATACCACCCAGGACTCCTAGATACATTTCATAGATTATTATTCTGCTGAAATAAAATCCTAGTATTTACTATATCACATATTTTGGTCCTCTTTAGGATTTTTTTTTAACAAAAGTTTCTTTTATAATTACTCCCTCTCTAAACAGCACTGCAGGATAATACACTGGATCCCAAGGTCGGTTTGAACCAAAGGCTCGGTGGTTCAGCTTCACCAGCCACTTTTCAGAAACCCCTTTACATGGTCGCTATGAGTCAGAACATACTTGATGGCATTTAACAATAATTAAACAGTATATTTCAACATTACCCACAGTTTTCATTTCTAATATTATTTTAACTTAAATTAAAATTAAACATTAAATTAAATACCCCAGTGTGAAAGCTCTGTCCCCCAAATTCTTTAATCCAAATCATTTCCCCCACTTTGCTACCATTCTGAATGCTAAATTTGCATCCTAAAATTTACATAATAAGATTTAAAAAGTTAAGTGTTTAAAATTTGCATAAATATTTATAAAGAGGCAGCATTAATTATTTTTAAAATGTGGGATTTAAAGTGCTTTTTTTTTTTTTTAAAGTTAATGAATATGGAGCTCCTGGAACAGAAAAAGAACATATAAACAAAGGACTTTGAAACAAATATAGACTTTAGTTAATAATAAAACAATGTTGGCTCATTAATTGTGACAAATATATCAAAGTATCATGTTAGCACTTGGAGAAACTCAGTATGCATTTTATGGAAACTGTTTGTACTGTCCCAAATCCAAAGTTTACTGTAAATCTAAAACTATTCTAAAATGAAATTATTATTTTTAATGTTTTATTAGGCACGAGGGAGGCTTCTGTTCTCTCACCTTGCCCTAGGCCCTCATCCCATTTTCAGTCCTGATCAGCCCCTCCTCCCTGGTTCAGAGGAGTCCCAAGGTAGGGCCTCCAATAGACAAAGGAAACAAAAGTGGAACAGGGGGGACAGGGGGACAGGCCAGCACCAAAAATGGAAGGATGCTGGTTCTTAGCCCACATTCTTTCCCCTACCATTCCAGTCGCAATCTTTCCACATCTTCTGGCCAGTCAGATATCTAGGTCATCATATTGGTCTGGCTCATAGAAGATGTGGCTTGTGGCCTGGCCTAGCCTATGATGTAGTAGACCCTGCTGTTTTTTCAGAACTGAACTGGAAGAGCAAGATCAGGGTATCTTTGACTTCTCTTTCTTTCTTGGACAGGTGAAGATTAAAAGTTAATTGAGTTGTAGGATCCACCTGGGTGATGGGAGGGTGTGGGTGTGATTCTAGGGCAGGCACCTGTTGGAGATTCAAATTGAAGTCAGGCAGGATGGAGAACCACTGAGTCTGATGGGCTGAGTGCTGTCGGAGCTCTCAAGGAGGATGTGGGCTGTCATCTGGCCCAACATCCCACTCCAGGTCACCTCTGTCTGAGCAAGGCTGCTTAGTGGCCCCACAGGCCCTGGGCCATGAAGCTCTTCATGTAGCAGGCCCAGCACATACACCTGCTTCACTGGGGAGCTGCCATTTGGGTAGGAGTCCTGATGGCTCAGAGCATGCCGGATTGGGCACAGTGTGATGCAGGGGAGCGGAAACAGCAGCCAGCGGAGTGAATCAAGAGCGATGGTGACAGGACTAGGATGTGTCCTTTTGCACAGGGCTTCCAGGGATCCCCAGGAAAGAATGCCCCCTTCTACATTTTTTGACCAGTTGAGAGGGTCTCTGAAAAGGTCATGGTAAATCAATTGACTGTTAATATCAGCGTCAAAACCTTCATGAAACTCCTCCTTGCTCACTCACTTCACAGCCCAGGAGGCAGACTTGCTTCCCTCAGAGTGCAGATTTCTTGATAAGTGCCTTCAAGAGACTACGCCCCTCTTATTCTGTGGTGTCTCAAAGCAGGGCCAGGACCCTGAGAGCCATGAGCAAATCCGACATCTTTGACTCCCATTCTGCGCTTCTTTGGGCATCTTCTGATGGCCGAAAAGATAATTTTTTAAAAAGTTTATGAATAGTAATAAAAACCAAATGGTGGAATTTATAGCATCTATCTTATTACAGCAAAAAACCCCAACAGGCAAAAAGTAAATGTGGCACTCAAATTTTTACCATCCAGAGTTAGCCACTGTTAGTATTTTATTTTTTAAAAAACTGAATTTTAGTACACTTTAAAATTTCCTATACTGTTATTTGGGAGCACGGTGTTTCTGTAAGATTAGCACTGGGCTTCCAACAACAAAAGGTCCATGGCTGGGGCCCACCAGCAGCTCTGTGGGAGAAAGATGAGATTTTCTGTTCCTACAAAGATCAGTCTTGGAAACCCTGTACTAGGTCTCTGTGAATTGGAACTGACTCAACAGCACTTAACATACTGATTTTTTACATGCATTTTTTATGGTGTTTGGATAAAACCACATACAGTCAGCCCTCCATACCCACAGATTCTACATCTGTGGATACAACCAACTGGGGACTGAAAATACTTGGTGGTGGAGAAGCAATCCCTAACAGCTAAGAAGGTGCTCTGGTGGGGCTGTAGGATCAGTTCAGGGTTCAAGCCCACCTGCCCCTCTGGGGAAGAAAGATGAGACTTTCTGCTCCCCTAAAGATTTATCACCTTGGAAACCCTATACAGTGCTGCTATGAATTGGAACCAACATGGCACCTAACAGCAACTAAAGATAAGAAGCAGTGTTAGGTTCTATTTGTATTGTATTAGATATCATAGGAGTTCTGGTGTGGGGCTGTAGGAGAAGCACTGGACCATAAGGTTGGTTTGAATCTCAGGGTCGGCAGTTCAAACCCAACAGCCACTCCTTGGAAATGCTATACAGGGGCACTATGAGTTGGAACCTATTGGCAAGCACTTAACAACAGCAGCAAAATATTATAAGTAATCTGGGAATCATGGTGTGGTGATATAGGATA